GTTATTTATCTCATGGATGTGTATGTGTAGATTGATATATTAGTACGTTCTCATGAATTTTAGATTTTGCGCTAAGTGATCAAAAAGAAAAATGACAGAAGAATCCCTCGAAGAGAGAGGTGGAGGAAGCGGCGGTACAGAAATTAGCAGTTCAACTGTTGAATTTTTGCGTTCCGTTTCCCAAACATTACGAAATTTGGACGATGCCATTAAGCATTCGATTGAACAATTAAGAATTTTTAACAATGAAACAATGACAGATTTAACATTGAAATTTGAACAAATGAGACATAATGAAGTAAGTTCAGCATAAAATCAGTTATTAATGTGCTGTCTCGTTATCTGTTATTTAGAGTCGTGTGATAGGATTATTTGCACATCAAATTTTACTATTAAGAAAAGATGGTCAAAATGGTGGATTTAATGGTGAATACCCAAAGTTAGATCGTTTTCTGACCGGTAAATATTTATTACATCGAATTTTTATTTATAAATAATCTTTTTCTGCTTTTAGCAATTGGTCTTAGTGAAAAATCAATTGAAGTTAATCATGTTTTAAATTTCTTGATTCCTATATGCTGTTAAGTTTTGTCTTTGTTATTCTTTTTAGTATATTGTGCGACGCACAACATTCGAAGATTTGATCAATAATTCATCACGTGAAAAATTACTGTATGACGCTCAAACAAACGAAACTGAAAGAAAAGATTTTAAGAATGCCCTACAAGCATTGAAAGACTGCATAAGTAATAGTCATGCTTTGTTTTAGAATTCAACTGTTTTCCTTGTAAATTTCAAGTATTGCCAACGGCATTTGTCATAAACGAACCATCGTAGAAGAATGAGTTTCTTGAAAGCAAGGACTCTAAAAAAAATAAGGAGGCAAGAGACTGCACAAAGACTTTTCATTAGAAACATATAGTCTTAGTGTTAAAAAGTCAACAAGAGGACCAGAAGATTTATGCCTTATGAAACATAGATTGTACCTAATAATCAAATAATGAAAGATTGTTTTTTTTTTCTTTTCTGTAGAATATTTTTCTCAAGGAGGCGGAAGAAATGACGATGGACGCTTTTTTTGGCACACTGAAAAACCGCCATCGCCGCCAGTACCTTGCTCATCGATACTCCATTCTGTTCGTCAACATCGTTCATCAGATACCGCCTTACCATTACCACCAAATACTGATACAATTCGATCAAATTCTGTCTCATCTATATCAACAGAATTTGGTAATATAGCAATCAATCAGTCATCCTCATCCCCACACGTCCGACGTAAAGGAGGTTTGTGTCTATTGCTTGCCTTTTTATTTTTATAATGGTATATTGATTTTATTTTTCTATGCAGCATCAAATATAAACACTCCACCACCATCTCGTTCAAATCATTTATGTGTTAAAGATAAAGGCAAATGTGAACATCCAAGTAAAAAAAGTTCTGTTGATCCTACAGTATTTATGGGGTAATTTCTTACTATGATTGATAGCTGGACGCACTCTTTCACCGATTCTTTATTTTGTATTCTGGCAGTTCTAGAAATTATGACCTTCAATTACCAGATGGTGCACCCTCAAGAAGAAGTTCTTACGGTTCAGATACAGACAGTCGTCTGCCATCAGGTACGTTACTAACTACTCTCAATATTAGTTTTTGTTTTCATATAGAAAGTGAGACTTGTTACTCGTATTACAATATTACTTGTACGATTTTTCAAAATCTTCCTCACAGTCTCTTAGTCTATTTTAAAATACTAATCTTAAAAATTAACAAAGGTTTTAGTCGACTTTGTTAATTCAGGCTTTTCGTTATTTTTTTGTTCTTCGTAGATACTCAGTATCAACGCGTTAACGGAAATTATAGTAACACTAAAGATTGTAATGTCAATATTTCATCTTCATACTCAACTCCTTTGCTCTCACCACGTAAAGTAACAATAGTGTCATTAAAAAACTGTTTACTTTTAACAAAACATGATGCATATCGCAGTCACAATCATAAAGTGCCAAAAATAAGGCATAATACGCACAGTGGTCCAAAATTATTATTACACTATTCCACGATTAATAGAAATAAAAATATAGATAACAAAACGATAACAAAGAAAAACAAAAAATATCGTCAAAAAAATAAAAATAGTGGTATACAGCTAGATATATGATTGCTCTGCTGGATGATTCCGTAAACAATGTACCATTACATGAACTTTCCGTGCAAAAGCTGGAACCCTTTCTAAACAAAAGACTCATATGTGCAATTACATCATATATGTAATATTGTTGTCAATTGTGATATAATTCCACATATGAGTCGCTCTACTCTTATTAGAAAATGTTTTGGCTTGTGCGCATGAAGTCGATGCAATAGTACACATTTCAACGTTCCACGCTGCTTTTAGTTTACACTAAAGAATAAATTAAATGTGTAAACATTTTTGAAAATTTTTTTCCCGCTAATTAACCCGTTCAGATTTTCAATTTTTTTCTTTTACAGAATGGCAATTTGTTTAGTTCATCGACTTTTGATTAGCCGCTATTAAAATTTGTTAAAAATATTTATTAAGCTTATCGCCTCTAAATAAGAATAATTTTGTCAAGTTTATCTTAAGGAATCATTTCATTGTTGTTATTTTTTTATTAAGGATCAGCCACACCAAAATCTCCCACAATACGTTCGCCAACCATGAGTGGATCACCGTCAGCATCGGCACAAAATAGTGATACGGAATATGATTCCAGGCCACCAGGTAAGTTGCCATACATACTATTAACAATGCTGCAAAAACTATGTTTTAAATGAAATCACATGCATCTTATTTTTCTATAAGATATCGTATCTGTTCTAATTAGACATGATTGCTTTGCTTTATTTTAGAATTACCGATGTACAATACTCGTTCACCTATAACTGGCCATAGAATGGCTCATAAAATTCAACACAAGTATGTAAACAAATTATATGGCTTAATGTTTGCTTTAGCATTAATTATTATTTGCTTATCGCTTTTTGAGAATATATTTTAAACAGCAGAAATAGTGCTACTTAGGGATGTTACAAGCCTTGAGACCGTGTATCAAAGCTCACATGTTTTCATTATTCAAGATCCCCAAGCTCTGCCGAGTTTTTGTGACAGACGTAACCAGTTTTCTCCACTGTATCTGAAACTAGTTCTAGGACTGGTCAAAATCAGTAAAAAAGTACCGGGCTTGGTAAAACTTGTTAAAAAATACAGATAAAGGCCAATTTTCACCAAGCTCGGTACTTTTTTTACTGATTTTGACTAGTCCTAGAACTAGTTTCGGATACAGCAGAGAAAACTGGTTACATCTGACACAAGAGCTCGGGAGAGCTTTGGGATTTTGAATAATGAAAACATGCGAGCTTTGATGCACGGTCTAAAGGCTTGTAACATCACTAGTACTACTCGATTTGTTTTACTATATATTCTCATTTCTACGCTAGTGATCTGATCTTGACACAATTCTGCTAGAATTCTTTAATTTATTTGTTCGCAGCACTTTCCATCTCTCTTCTATCCTCTATTATTTTTCAAATGGTTTTCTAAAGGGTAGGATCAGTTATATCATGATGAATTTGGAGATAATCAATGTAAATCGAAGAAGACAACAAAGCACTTCTTTTTGAGAAAGAAAACGATATAAAAATCCATTAGAGTTGTTTTATATAAACATTTCCATCGTACTCAAATGTATGTTTAAGTTATAAAAGTAGATGTTATAATATGACTGCATATTTTTATCATTAATAAAAAACGAAGGAAATGACTAAAAAGTAAAAACGTAAGTTTAAAACATAAACATGAAAGGCTGAATCTGCTTACCAACCGAAAATAAGACTATGGCATCTAAGTTAATGACGATGGGAATGTTCAAAGAAAAAAACTCAAATATTTCAAATATTATCAAGCAACAACGAAGTTAACATCCTTTATTTTTCTGATTAATAAAAGCGAACTTTTTTCCCCAGTCGCTTTAGACGACTGAAGTATATTGTCTGTCCTAGAGAAGTGCAGGATGTTCTAGCCCTATCCTATCTTACCCTGCAAGGTAGGTTAAAAGTAGACCCTGACAGTCACAAGGGAGAGTTGGGCCAATAGTTCAAAAATCGCTACTCTACATATCCATCAAAAGGGTTATTAGCTCTGATTTTGTCTTCCTTTTTGGTAATTTTTTGTTCGGTTCTTGTTAACGCGTACATATTTCAGTTCGTCTGTATTTGATATGGTTGCTTAACTTAATCACTGAATGTCAGTTTCAGAACACGTGTTAAACTTCTTCCTTGTTGTTTATTTTATATAATTTTGTTGTACAAAAGGTGTTTGTGTTCAAAAAGTAAATATTGAGTAAAGCTTAGATTTATAGACTACCAATAATAAATAATATCCGTTCACTTATTTAAGGTGGAGTAGTCTTCTCAAACTATCAACATGCAGCGTATGTACAAAAAAAATATTCTTTCTTGGTTCAAAGTGCAATGCTTGCAAGTAAGATAGATGTTGTGATAGTTAATGTTTAAATATAGAATAGGGAATATTCTTGATAAAAGCCTATAAGTGTGAGAGAATTTTTGATTGTTATAGGATTTTTTTAATAATTAGGATGTTGATGTACGACTTTTTGTTTAAAACTTGATAGTAAGATATTTTTTTTAATAATAATTATAATTAATTAATAAACATTTTACATGTCTTTTCTACGTTTAATATTTGCTTAGGTTGACTGAACTTTATTATTAATATATCGTATTTTTCTTTCATCTTTCTCTATAAATGCTTTCTGTTATTAAAACTTTTCGCATCGCTTTAATCATTATCTTTCTACTCAATTGCGCTTGCTCATCATAACTCTTACAGATTAAATTAGCTTGTTCACCAATATTTAATGAAATTTCATTCTCTCTAAAAATAATCAGTTTAACAGAAAAGATGCTGAAGGTGGAGAATATTTCACACTTTTTAAGACATACAACTAAAAACATCATATAGACAAAATTTGAAATTATTTCGATTCGAACATGTCGATTTATTTAAACTTAAACTATTATAGTTGTATAAGTTTATAAATATAATAAGTGTGAAACTCAGCTTGAAGAGAATGAAATTTCACAATATAATTACAATATGATCAAGTCTGTATTACTGACTATTGATGTATTATATTATTATTATTCACAGGTTCGATAGGACAAGAGTGTTCAAGTTTTCTTTCTGCGATGTTTGTAAAAAACAAGTGTTTAGAGGAAAACAGTGTTTATTTTGCAAGTAAGAGAGCATGAAATTTGAGAGTGATTACCTATTTTATATATATTAAAGAGAAAAAAAAGCTGTTATTGAGAAAGAATATGCATGGTATCATGTATGTTTTTAATTTATGTTTGAATGTTGGATGAATGGAATGAATGTGCATCTATTTACCCCACAATAGTCCTTAGCATAGTAGTTTTTTTTTCTCTTATATTTAATATAATTAATTAACATTAACAGATAGTTACATTCATTTACAGATACAAATGTCATAAAGAATGTGTACAACATGCTCCGCCTAATTGTGGTTTGAATGAAATGAAACTAAGACGTGTTTTTGATAATTCAGAAATACAAAATGCACTTGGTAAATCTACATATTGAGGTTCTTTTATTTAATAATGTATTTATATTTTATTTTAAATTATTTTCAGCTAATTCAAGTCCATATACTCGTCGTTTTACACGTATGAAACTAAAACAAGAACAGCTAATAAACTCTTAATTTCTTTGAAATCTGCATAATAATATTTAATGCTAATACTGTTAATCACGACTAATAAAGATTGCTGCACAGCAATGACATTTGCTGCTATCGTTAATAGTCCGAAATAGTTGCTTACTGAAATTTTCACAGAATAAATAGATCAAAAGCAAAAACACGAATCACATTTATACGAATGATGGAATGGGATTCACGGACTTACATTCGTGAGACAAACGTATTCACTTTTGGACAAATTTAGTCCAAAAGTAAATGCGTATGAGTTCTAATTCCTTATTTTATGCAATGTATGATATTTACATCTGGCCTTTCACTGTCCCTTCACTTGTTTTCGCTTTAACTGCGTTTAATTACATAAAATAACTTATTTTAACCTTAGAGTCATTTATCCAAGTGCTGCATTATAAAATACTCTGCAAAAGTATCTTCACATTTGTAAACTTTTGTGATCGATAGATGATTACTTTACAAATAATTTATCCTATATTAAGATAAGTCTAGTGTATGTATTTTTTAGTGATGGGCAAACTAAAAATCTGTTCAACTGTTTAATTACAAAACGCATATATCTTGATTCTTTTTATTTTTTTTGCAATATATTTGATACCTTTTGAATATTCCGACTTTAAACTATGGCTTCACTCATAATGACAACTTATTTGTGAAATAGTTTTCTATCGATCCTAAAACTGATGTAAACCTAGTTATAGGTATTGTTTTGAAAATAATCCAAAATGGCAAAAACTGTTGTCATTCGTGAAGTGACTGTAATTTGTTAATCAGCAAGAGTCAAATGGCTGACATTGAGTGCTATATTCTCATGCAGAAAATAACTGATTACGCTTTTTAGATCAGAATTTATTTGAGTTTTTAATAAAAATAAAATAAAAACAATATATTCTAGAAATTATGCTCTTAAATGAGCTCAAAAATATTGTGTGATCAGCATATGACAAGGCGAAGACCTTGTCATATGCTGATTCACACAAAATCTTAGGTTATTAGATATCATGTTTGTTGAATTACTGGAGTAACTTATGCAGAGGATTTTATACTACTTCTTTTCGTGTTAGAAAATACATCTTGACAAACTTTTATTCTAATGCTCATAATGAATCTTCAAATTATTAACTACTGCTTATAATTAGTAATTAAACTAATCTTTCAACAAAACTGCTTTCATAAAGATCAGATTTCACTGGACGGCGAGGTGGCAGTTTAAAATATTAAATTAAAATATATACAACCAAGTTTAAAATATTTACGTTAACAAGAAACTCATATATAGACTTGCATGTTACGTTAGATGAAAGAATTTTCCAGTTATGCAGATCTCATTGAGAAATTTTTTTTATATCTTCTAACAAGCAAAATTTCATCTGATAATTTAGCGTCGGACAGTACCAGTCCAACCTCATCAACCCCTATGTCGGCGCCTGGTAGTCCCGCACCAAATCCAACGTCACCCTATTATAATTTTAATACAAATCCACCGATTTGTGTCAGTGAATCAATCTATTGTAGTAAGTAGATTCGGCATGATTATGCGTATAAACAAGAAGATAGATTTAAAATGAAAAGTAAAACATGCTTAGTGATAGGTAGAAATGGAAAAAGTGCGACATTTAGTTCTCCAGTTTCACAATATTATATTAAAATGAAAAGATTTGACTGTGAGTAAGATGGTGTGGTATAATATTTTAAGTTATTTGGTGACAAAATATTATGTTAAAAACTTTTTCAAAACTTATTATCTCGTTCGGCTGCTCAGCCATAGTTATTTGATCTTTCTGGTAGTAAATGGCTTTTGATTTTACTTTGCAGAAAACATCTTGCACTATTATGATTTGTTTTTAATCCGATCTTTTTGGCTGCTTGTAATTATTCTCATATAGAACAAGAAATAACATTTTGCAGAATAGTATTTAAAATATCACATTTATTTAGCTCAAAATGATCCCGATAGCTGGGTTGTTATTGAAACAAGTAAAACTGTTCAAGGTAGGCTAGAGAAACTGTTAATTATGGGCTATTTGTTGTTGTAATTATGTGCTTATTGTAATTTATCGTAAAAACACTTGGATATAAAGAAAATCGAGATGCAGAAAACAAAAATCTACAACTTGAAATGTTTTCTTTACATCTGAACATTTATTCTACGTTCTAATCAAACATTTAATATATTTATGTATTTTAACTCTGCTTTCTCTCATAAGCTTATAGATTTTCTAATTTATTTTTTATAGAGATAATATTGCTGATGCTATTTTATGCTTAAGTAGAAACGCCGTTGAAATTAGAAAATATAGTTAATCGCATAATATTGGATTTAAGTCACATTTTTTTCCTTTCGTCCGGGTTATTCAGTTAAACTTTACAAATTGAAATAAGTTTATAATTTTTCTCTTATATTCTTCTTTTCTCATTTTAGAATTTCCCGAATCACAGTCTGATAGTGACACAAGGTATATCGTACTCTTTCTACTTTGTGGAATCTTAACTGAAATTTGTTTTTGTCTTTCAGTTCTACAGCTCTAACAGATACATTAGGAAAAGTTGTTTCTACTCTAACAAATGGATTGGAAACGACCGTTTTACAACCACAACACGTAAAAATCTGTTACTTTGTGTCAAAACATAGTGAAAAGTTGAATTTAAAATATATTTTCTAGATTGAACCACATCATCCGAATCGTGATGATTTATTAAAAGCAAACCTTTTTGTTAATTCATTTGATGATGAAGAACCTGATCCAGAAAAACGAAGCATTAATGTAATTCATTTTGAATGTTATGCAGACATTCGATGATTGCTAAAAGTAAATTTTAAAATTTAGCTTGAAACATCGTTACAAGATTGGGTCATCATTTTTAAACATATTAAAATAATTGAAGAAGTTAAACGATCATCTGGCACACTACTCAAGTGATAAATATACGTAAATCATGATTATTCATTAAATATATCGTTCTTCTTCTTCTATAGAGCTAACTGGCATGGTGAATGTGCTGTTCGAACAATCAAACTTGATACTAGTTTACCTGAAGTTGAATTTCTTAATCGTTTCAAAACTCAAGTGAGAATATTAGTAGAAAACTATAAATTTTATTTTTAGCTTTGTATTTTCTTTATTATAGGTATTTCGTTTGAGAAAAGTACGCCATGAACATCTTAATCTATTTACAGGTGTATGTATTGAAATACCTAACCTTGCACTAGCATCAAAGTATGTTATTATTGTTTTTTTTGTATTACATTATTCTGAATGTGTAAAATACTCTTTCTTTCTAGTTGGATACGTGGAACGAACCTTTATGATATGATACATATACGAAATGATAATATACCATTAAACTTAGCTGTACAATATGCAGGACAAATAGCACAAGCAATGAGTTATCTACATGAAAAATCAATTAACCACATGTCATTACGAACAACAAATATTTTTGTTCAAAATAATCGTATCGTTTTAACCGATTACGGTCTTGTACCGTTAAGTAAATGTTACAAATTTCTTAAGTATGTAACATATTCTCTCAACTTATAGTTTATATATGTTTTTGTTATCATATAGAGAAAGTAATGAACTTATTATTGCGCCAAGAGGATGGCTCAGCTATTTAGCACCAGAAATATTGAGAAAACTTGATCCAAGAGATGAAAATTCATTACTTCACCATACACAAAAAACGGATGTTTATGCTTTTGGGTTAGTAAATGAAGCAAAAAATATAGAACAGAAATAGAGAATTAAAAATATCTTGGCTATTTTAGTACTGTGTGGTATGAATTACTATTTCGTGAATTTCCATTTGCGAAACAACCACCAGAATACATCATATGGAGAGCTGGCAATTCCCTCAAACAACCATTATCAAGCGTACATATCACAAAAAATGCTAAAGTATAACTTTTGTTTTACGCTAAATTGTTGATCGATCCTTCAGAAAAGTTCGATACAATGCCTGCTACAACTATTGTTTCTTTTTGTTATTTTTTAAGGATATTGTACATCAATGTTGGTCTTACTTGCCGGTTGATCGTCCCGATTTTTCAAGTCTAAATAAAACATTAACAAAATTACCCGGTAAACGAACTTTAGTTCGAAGTCCATCAACTCCATTACAATCTCAAGGCAGACAAGACAATCATATATAAAAACAAAATCTGTTTTATTTCATTTGCATTCCTTTGCGAAAGTTTTTTTGCCAGATTCCTCATTTTTATCATCTGTCTCTCAATTATACAGAAAAAACATCAATAACAAGGATATGTCTTCAATTTGCTGTTATTTTCACAATGTTACCTCATCTGCGTTTTTCATAAACAGTGGTTGACACACACGTGCTCTGTGTCAATTAAAGTGCAATAAAGAAGTCGAAAAACTTATACGAGTGACAATTTTTTTGTTTGTTTCAGTCTCCTTTTTTGCATCTTTCTTTTAGCACTGCTCGCATGCTGATAAACCATATATTTCATTTCCTTTTTCTGTTTTTGTCTCTACTTTTTTTTTTATTGTGAAACGCTTGAGATACTCACATATCTTTTCTGTTGTACATCATGCACGGCATCAACCCAGAAGCTCGTCTTTTTTTTTCAGCAAGTAGATCAAACGGAGAGTATTCAGTTTTAGTATTCTCGTTTTTATACATGTGCAATTTGTATTTCTATTTCTATATAAATGATAATTAATGATTTCATACTTGTCATTCATTGTTTTTACTCATTTTCCTTCCTCAATATTTATTTTTGTAATAAAATGCATGAAAGTCAGTTTATTATTGTGTTGTTTTTGAGATTATAGGAGAAGATTTTGATGATGTCTATCTCCCATATACTCGTCTCTTTTCCAACAGTTATACTCATAAAAATCAACACATTTATACATTCATTTTTCTACTCTACTTTATACAGAACTAGAATAACTTATTCATAACTAGAAATAAAAATGTACGACAGATTCACGCTGTCAATTTTAAACACATTTGCATGAAGGACGATGAATATTAAAACCAATATTCAGCAAGCTCTTGGAAATAGATAATAAACATTGATTGTATCTGATGACTAAATATAATACAAAAGATTTTGATAAAATAAATAGCGTTCTATTTAGCATGAATAAGTGATATTATATTTGAATTATGTAGTTGTATGACTAGATGCGAACGTGTACAGATAATTGTTCACAATCGATGTATTCTAGGATAGATCAAAAACTTTCTGTAATATTGTACGATGTATCGCTAGGTAATGGCATTGGCCGTGTGCCAATTTCATCTGTGGCTGGTTTGAACACATCATTAAATATAAACTCTTTAAATCGTTTAGCATAAAAATCAGGTTCAACAATTGAACGATCATCCACAGCTGTTTGAACTTGTATTGTCTGAAGCTGACGTTGCATTACTTTACAAATATCGAAACTAAAAGACAATATTTATTCTACATATTCGTGAGAAAAGAAATTTTTACGATACTTACGTTTGCAATATATCAAGGATGGCAAAAAAAAGTAACAAACGTTCTCCTTTTTCATTCACGGCTGGAATTCCACCAAATTGTTTAGCTTGTGGTGTATCATATGTATTTATTGACGAACAACCCATTCCAATAGTTTCAATTGGTTTTCCATATCGTACACGATGTTTTTTTTCACGAGTATTTTTTTCATTTTGCTCAATCACTTGTTGTACTCCTACCATAAATGTGTCTCTTGCCGATTCAATTAAACTTTCAAAGAGGCCAACACGTTTTGGTTTAACAGGATTATCCATATTGTGAATCACTGTAAATACAAAAATAAATTATTTGTATTTTTATGCATGTCAACGTTTTGAAAACATTACCTAATAACATTGAATAATCCATAATATTTTGGCTTTCTAAAAATTTAACATCATGTGTTAGAACCTCTCGTAAATTTTCATAAACACTACGTGGTAATCTCAATCCATTCGGATGTAGAGCGCGAAAATCATTATCTTTGAATGTAGCAAGTTCTTTTCTTAAAAGAAAGTTAAAATTATGCATTCCTATACTCTTGAAAAATTTGAATATCTACCGTTTTTCAACTGCATCTGCATCACGTCGAAAGGTACTTCCTTTTAAATCATATTTTTCATGTATTTCTAATTGTGATGGAATAAAATTTGAGAATACTGCAAAACGAAGCGTAAACGTTTCGACAGATAGACCAAGTTTTTCTTTGGGTATATAGGGTATATAGCCATACAATCCGAATAATTTTGTGATGAATGTTCCTGGACGCTTTCTAACATAGTCAACATATGCAGATAAAAATTTTTGTTGAATAAATTTCGCTTCGTAATCTCGAACGGTTTTAATGATAAATTCTTTGTCAGCTGTAAGATACAATAATGAACCACTTTTTGCTAGAAAAAAAACAAATGTTATATATGAAAATATTTTAAGACAAGTTTTCTATTACCTGGGTTAGCTATTTCTCGTAGTTCTCCACTTCCAATAATACTATCACGCAATATTTCTGGATCAATACCATAAATATTCATCAAACAGAAAAAAGCATTAAGTGCATAGGCTTCACAATCAAAATCTGGATACGAATGAGGCGGTGTATTTTTTTCACCGCCACCGATCGCTGGAAATTTGAGACGTTCAACATGTTCAGTATCATACGTTGGTCGTGTATGTATTAAGCTTTTCTGATTAGGATTTTGTTCAATCTTTTGGTCAAGATAATATCCAATACCCATTTGCAGAGCATTACGAATATGATCCATTTGTAAGATACCATTGGCCAATAGCTTTTGTAATATCACTTGTTTCGATAGAGCAGCACTAGTATCCGTAATACTTGATATACTTTCTTGTATACGTTGCACTACAGACTGACTTTTTCCACGTAAAGTTTGTGCAAGATTTTCAGCCATACTTTTTTAATGCTGACGGGATAATAGTAGATATGAATAACTTCTATAAGAAATATACAAAAATCTATTTTTGTCATACGATATTTAAGAACAAAAAAATGGTTTATTTGTATTTTTCCAAAATAACAGTCGCTCAGTCATTTTTCTTTTGAAAAGCGACTGTTTCTGAATAACAGCACTGATTCTAAACGTACGTTTTTATTTATATTATACATTTTTTCGTTTTCGTTGGTATAATATAATGCTTGTGCTTTACTTTCCGTCTCAGATAAATATTCTTTAGCTAAATAACGAATACATCTGCAGTGGTAATATTTTGAATGAGCTAATCGATTAAACTGATAAGACATCGTTTCAAAAAAGATATATCTCAAATAAAAAATAGACTTTGTACAGATTCTCGCAAATCTAGCGTATAGTAGAAAAGAGTAGGGTTTCCTTCAGCATTCACGGATTAGTTTGAGAGTAACAGAATGAGATGTTGCAGTATAAAGAGAAAAAGGAAGAAAAAAATACATTGTGTTTATCCATATATCATATATATATTGACAACAATGTTGTAAATAGACAATAATAATCGTTGAAAGACTGTTTTTATTATTTTTTTGTGTAAAATTATTTAAAACTAAAAAACATATACTTGTAAACCGTGTATTCTCTCTATGCGAGAATTTTCCTAAATATTGTTATTTCATGAGTTTAATGGAGGCAATGGGAAGAAACAGAAAAAATGTATTTAATAATGGCGACCGTTGCACTAATCATTATTTAAGAATATTTTAAATCAAGTACGACTTGGAGCCAAAAATAAAGAAAAATGAGTGCGGACAATGCGACTCGTTTTTTCGATACATCAGGTAGGATATAGATTTGATGCGTTTTATTAAACCGACTGAGTAAAACGACCAGTCAGTGTATTACTTTTCTCCAGAACCTACGTGTTCTTTCTTTTTCTACAATTTTGGTCGATTTTTCCACCCACCGTTCTCTCGCATTTGCAACTGCAGAAGATTAGGAAAAAAACTAGTAGACAGTGCTTATACTGAATATGGCACATCCGAAATTATTTTTCTGATATTACCAGGGATGTGGCGACCACGGGGTGCGCACCATCCCATTTCTTTTGAAAGAAGCGAAAATATGGAAAATTAGAACAACTATTCGATAATATTATAACATTATAAACTAAAATACGAATAAATGATCTTTCTGTAGATTGATGCATTAGATTATGTTGAG